GATAGATAGATAGATAGATAGATAGATAGATAGATAGATAGATAGATGATGGATGGATAGATAGGATAGATATAGTTAAATAGTTTCTTAAGATAAAAGGCCCAGGATATAGTCACAATCAGAAAAAGCAAACTCCAACAATGTAAGTAACTCAGTGTCCAGTGTGCGAGGTTCACTCCTGGTATTTTGCATCCCAATAGGCTCACAGTTGCATTTCTCTGCTCTGTCATTCACAGCACGTGTATCCCGTCTCCTAGTCTCAGGCCAGATCTATTCCACATCTGTGGCTACCCTGTTGGTCATCCTGTGGTACCAGCATCTCCAAAATGTTGGGGTCTCCATGGAAACTGAGCTGCACCTTCACCAAGCACCTCTCCTGGTCTCTCTTCAGGGTCTCTGAACCGGCCCAGTGGTGCCAGGCCTCAGCCTGTCTCCATGATTCCTTCAGTCCTGGGGTTATTCCTGCTTCTGAAACTGCTCCTTCACCAATGACCTCCCAGTGCTAAGCCTGAGCTGTTCTCCATGAGTGCTTTATGCCTTCAAAACCAGCATTACCTGGGAGACTCTTATCCATTACCAAGTTCAGCTGCCTCCATGAGATACAGCTTTGGTCCCCCTCTGAACTAGAGCTTCTGGGGAAAAATACTCCCAGAAGATTCTGTCTCAATGGTGCCAGTGTCTTCTTAACCACCACTAATTTCTCAGCTCCAGCTGACCAACATCAATGGTCCCAGTAAAACCTTTGTTTCAATTTTGTGGTTCTGGTTTCTTGTTAATCACAGCTAGAGCTACAGAGTCGTAATTCAAAATACTTAATGACCCTGAAGTTTAAGAAACTCTCTGAAACTTCCCCAGCCAGGCTTGTGTTGCTCTCCTCTGTGTTATCTCAGCGTTCTTACTGGCCAAGCTCCTGCAGAATGGCCCACTGAGCTCTGAGAACTCTGGAGTTTTCTAGCCCAAGTTCAAGTGCCATTCAATTCTACCAAAAAATATGTAGCCAGCTCTGTCACAGCAATGCTGCACAACCTAGTACAAGCTTCCTGATGGTTCCATGACAAGTGCTTCACTGACTGAGCCATCTTGTCTTCCTTTCAACCTTCCTTTTGACACTGTAGATGTACTATGTATGTACCCATGGTTACAGACTCACACTGCTTTCCTTTTCACTGGATTTCTTGTTAAAATTGTTCTTTTATGTTTGACTACAGTATTGGCATATGACTACCACAAGTTCTTTTATAGTCTGTGAGGTTTCACTTTTTTTATTCTGTAAACTCTTTGTTTTTTAACTTTTTATTGATCCTTTGTTAGTTTCACATCAGCCATTCCAATCCCCCTCATCTACCCCTCCCCTCATACCCACCTTCCACCCTTGCAAACCAACCCCCACACACAAAGGGAAAAAGAAGAAAATAATCCCATTGTGTAAGCTGTAGTAAGTCATGGTGTGTCCCACAGTATACCCTTCTATCCACACATCTTTGCTTGCAGATGTTCGCTGCAATGAATCATTGGTCTGTTTTGAGGCCTCTGGCTTCTGCTACACTGTAAATACTGGATCCTCACCAGGACTCCTCTCCTGTTGTTGCCCTGTGTGCTGGAGATCCTGTAGTTTTAGATCTGTAGGACTGGCCACTTCATGCCCTTCAACAGTTCATCATTAATGGGGTGGATGTTGAGATGGTCGAATTCAAAGGCCTGGATCTGGTCCTGAGATGTATCTGAGCTGGTCAACCCTTCAGCTCTCCTGACCCCACACCACCAGGGTGAGCTCTCCTGTCAGGTTC